ATATTGAAAGGGGCCCCAATATGCGAAATATTGAAAGCAAAAACCTACCGGCTACCAACTGGAAAAAATACAAGTTCTATACATATTTTATATAATTTACATAGTTATATTTGTTAATATTAGGTGTGTACCTACCTTTACAGTCTATAATATAGATATTAGACTCTATTATACTCTATATATTAGAATTTTATAAGTATCTAATACTTGAAAATAAATAAAGCATGCTTCGTAGTTCGTTTAACAATAAACAGTATATGTATGCAACAAAATACAAAATATGATTTTATAGTAGGTAAAAGATTTTATTTGAGAGACTGAACTAGGAAGTTTTTATATTTGAATAGTGTTTTACATCAAGCTTAACATAATATGTAATATTATTATATTTTTTAGCGATTACAAGTATATTATAGTGTATAAAAAAATATAGAAGTATGTATTATACAATAATAATAGCGATTAGCAGCCCACAACGACGAGCGTACACTCAGCTAATTTTAAAAACAGAAATTAACTACCCATATACTACATGTCCATATAGGTAGTAGACAGTAGTATACTTTATACGCTGCCTGTTCAAAACTCGAATATAAGATCGCAGCTTAAATTTACTCGCATGCGGCACGCACACTATTGCAGCGACTTCACATATTACGTATTTAGAATTATTGCTGAATGCACGGACGACGCTGCTGGTCGTCCAAACACTTCTCGTGTGTGCATATGCTAAATGCTTCTGGTATATGAAGGAAACAAATTTAATGTTGGCACATAATAAATGTATTATAATAACTATACTATTTAAAAATTTGTATTTTTAATAAAAAAATGTAGAATTAAGGATATAGGTACAATTAATTTTCTGCTTTAAATTAATTTTAGTAGGGGGCGCGAACCCGTCGTCCAAACCATGAGCCGCCACTTTAAAATAAATACAACTGTATAGTTGAATAGAAACATAATATATAACACACTTTTTATAAATAGGTATAATAAAGGTATATCATATAACGTAAAAGCTAGGTACTTATATCATTTTTTAGAATTATCCTGAATAAAGTAACTATAAGAAATATGATTTATCTGTACGACTGTACGTACTACATAATAATATAATACCAATGTATTAAACAAAAAATTAGGTACTTACCTAGGAATAAAGAATGAGACAAGACTTTGTTCTATGTTCGCCTCTCAGATGTTCATAATATGAAATATGAACGTGAAATGACAATAAAATAAAAATATTATTAATATAATATTGTTGTTACTCATGAATCATGATAATCAAATAATAACAGAAACACACAGACACCCAGTACAAGTAGCATGCATTTGGTTTTTACGAAAATAAAATTTATGAATCGTTATCGCAGTTTAAAATAATTACGAATTCGATTTATTTATAACTCATCTACAATAATATATTTTAATATTTCGGAGATCGACCACTAACATCAAGATAATATTATGCAGCTATACTCGATAATAAAATCCTGTATGGAACTTAACAAAAGAGTTTTAAATATAAATAATTTTATTTTAAATAATAATTTCTAGCGGGGCCCTGAAAGCGCGGGGCCCGGGGCATGTGCCCCCCTCGCCCCGGCCCTGCGCCGTCGCTGATAATTAAATTCAAGATAATAATATGCAACAGCTATTGCAATGAAGTACGAGTTGGGATGCTGTGCTACCGTCGAATATCGACAAGGAGTGGAAGGACGACCATCAGAAACTAAGTAATTTAAACTTACTCGTTATCGACAGATCACTAATTGGTGACGGTGAGATGGCCGATATCCAATCCCATAGTTTTCCTGAAGCGTCCGAAATCGCGTACGGAGCGTGCTTATATTTACGTGTATTAAACACCAACGGTAAATGCATTACGAATTTAATCTGTTCTAAGTCACCTGTTGCCCCGTTAAAAACAGTTTCAATTCCGCGTATTATTGGCACGTCTAGCGTCCAAGTATGCGCCAAATTTAAAATAAATTAGAGGTTTTTCTGGTCCGACTCGATGGTGGTCTCGGCGTGGATATCATCATCTCAACCGTCAAAATGGAAAACATTCGTGGCTAATATAGGGTTGGAGAGATACACGAGCGCACGTCAATACACGAGCGGTCCCACGACGTAGGTACTCGCGACGACCCAGCTGACATAGGTCGAGTGGATGCTGGCCTTCAAAAATCTCGAGTTGTGGTGAAATGCCCCGAAATCTGGCTAACAGATAGCTCGTCCGAGTGGCCGATGAAAGGGACAGAAACGATTACTTACAAGTATCGAAGTAATTAGAATCGAAAACCAAGTCGTGTGTACCGACGACTAATGATCACGATAAGACATTTTACGATCGGTTTTCGTCGTTGACGAGATTAATACGCGTTGTGGCATATCGTAAACGTTTTATTCGCAACATTCACTGTCAAAATAGTAAATACTGTAACGTGCTACTCCGCGTTACTCGTATGTGTTACGTCCCAACTGAGGTCGATATATACATCGACGCAGGAATGAAATACTGATGTACTTGGTTATGATGAGTGTTTATTTAAGTACAAAATTACAATGTATATAAGCTATGGTGGAGATGTGAGCAGTGTTATGACCTGACTCCAAATTTCTTGAGTATCCCTAACCCTCTGCCGAGCTCTTGCCCCGGGCTGGTATTTATATGATCGGGTGGTTGTATCAATGGCCAAATTCGGTCATGAGACTGCGTCCGGGTCTCGTACTTGGTATGCTGGTCGACTCGTATCCTTCGTATGAGTGTTTGACTTTCCTAGAGAGATACTTTTACAGTGTCCTTAGCGTGTTATAATCAGTGGCGGCTCGCAAGTAAATTCATTGGGGAGACTGAAAATTTAATAATAAAAAAAATGAACCCAAAAAAGATAAAAAAAAACCTTTTTTTATTATTATAATTGATAGCTTTATAAAAATTATAAGAATAGATAATTATTAAATAATTATAATAATTTAATTACTAGGTACACGCTGCTATACTATGTCAAATAGCTAAATTTAATAGTCTAATACGGACGCACGACACGCTGCAGTTTTCGTGTTTACAGAAAAATACGTGACGACCGCAATGCGAACGGCAAAAACTTTGAATGAGTCTAGTCTCAATGTACTGAATAACATCTATACCAGGGATGGCGAACCTTTTTGTACCAGCGTGTCAAATAAAAATGTTGGTTGGATTTTGTTTTCTTTGCGTGTCACCTAGTTTGATAACCCTTGTTTAAACTTAAAAATTCCTGCATCTATGGTTTGAATGATAAAAACACAAGTCAAATATTATATTATCAAACAATTTAAATATAACCTTTGAATTACTATAAAAATAACACTCACCAATAATGAAAACTGCACAAATTTGCACAAACACATGAAACACATTCGACTCGACGAATGAGTAATGACTAACGCTAATCGTGGGCCAGCTACACGTTATATCCGTTATATAAAATATATATACCTAATAAAGTTCTTATAGAAAAGTAATAAAATTAATAGTTGTTGAGCAGTGTAGATATTCAATTCAATGCATTTAGGTATAATACCATAAACTTAATATTTCATTTTTGTAATCTCAATATATTTTAGTCTACGTCTTTTTACACAGTTGAGTGTGTCACTAAAATAGTGTGCGCGTGTCACTCTGTGACACGCGTGTCATAGGTTCGCCATCTCTGATCTCTGTATACAATCTATCCCCGTCCTCCGCCTTGTCATGCATATGCAATTTGATTATATTACATAATTGAGTCTTTCGGACGGCAGACTCTCGAACTAACGACCGTCGTCGTCGTCGTTATCGATATATTTAGCCTGTATTGTTATCGATATATTTTTATATTGTATTGTTATTGAATGACACTCATTATTAATGTAAAAATAGAATACAAAATATTATCAATATTAATATCGAAAACCATGATAATTATTTTCAGAATGGATTTAACATAAAAATATTAAATTATAATACAATTTTCTTCAAACTTTTTTATTGCATTACTACTTTTTATTTTTATGGGGAGTCGCCGTCTCAAAGACTCCCCTGACGAGCCGCCACTGGTTATAATATACTAATTGCCTTATTAATTATATCGCCGAGTACTATTAGAAACCTGCGCTACGTCGTACATTGTTATTACTTAATTACTAAATAGGTAGGTAGGTACGTAACATATGGATGGAAGTAAAAATTGAATATAACTCCTCGATGATGGTATCAATTGTATTTATTACGTGCAAATGGTATGATGAAAAATAGTCCAAGTCCAAATAATTATGTTAACTGTGATTTAAGCGAGACGTGACTTAGTAAGTTGATTAGTGACCGTTCGAGTTGAGGCTGATTGCTCGTCTGATGAACGCTTGTCCATCAGCTCTCCTTGATGGGTCTGTGTCCATCAGTCCCTTCTACAGATTCGCATGAGTGTACATGGTCATCCTGCGGTTGTGCTTGGGATTTGTCACACGGTCATCGTTTTGGCACGTGCCGGATGTTATCGGATAACATCTTGTTATTTGCGATGTTATTTTATACAACAGCACAAATCCTACATTTTAATATTTTAAATTGTTTATATACGTAGTCATATATCTATTGATGCTGATGCATGTCGTTCATGGTCACGAGCTATATGCGTTCTCGGTACCATCGATATTATTATTATTATTAATGCTTACGCGAGCAAACGCTCGCGTATTATATTTATATTTACGCGGCGCGTATATTATATTATGATTACGTACATATTATAATGTAATTTAGACGACTGACGAGTCATTTGGTAAAGGCTGGTTTACACTTATCAAAGTAACCTGCACGTACGAGTACCACGAATCAGTGTCATTTTGATTCGAGCACTGACGACAGCGTTTACACTATCAGTGTAATTTTGATTCGAGCACTGACGAAAGTCTGTTTACACTACAAGTTTTCTAGCCTTGTGTCCAAGAAATTTTCATCAATAGCCAAAATGGAACCAGAACTGGCAGACCTAGTGTTATCAATGTGCGGAATTGTTGCTCGTGAGTGTGCAAAACAAATTATTTCTATTAACCAAAAAAAGAAAAGAAAAATATGGGTGCGAGATTGGGTTGCCAGGCGAAATATTTTAGGCGGATCAAATACGTTGTTAACGGAGCTCCGAATGGAACACCAATCGGGTTTCATGAACTTCATGAGGATGAGCGATGGTCATTTTGATATTTTATTAAAAAAATTGGAAAACCGTATTCAAAAACAGAACACGTTTTTTAGAGATGCGATACCAGCTAAGACAAAGCTGGAAATCACATTAAGATTTCTCGCTACTGGAGATTCGTATTCATCACTACAGTACTTTTTTCGAGTGCCTAAAAGTACCATAAGTTTGTTTGTACCTGATGTTTGTAAAGAAATCTATAATGTTTTGGAAGATTTCATAAAGGTAATTTTATTAAATTTATTTTAACTTTAAATAGTTATTAATATGTATAATTTATTAGATATCATACACATAAAAAATAAACAACTTAATTGATACATCATAAAAAATAATAAACATAATTGATACATCATAAAAAATAATAAACTTAATTGATAGGTAGGTACATCATGAAAAATAATAAACTTAATTGATAGGTAGGTACATCATGAAAAATAATAAACTTAATTGATACATTTTATTGATTTATAGAACTAAATAACTCTGCAAATGATTGTGGTGTGGATTCTTCTCTTTCTTCAATATTATTCTCAGAACATTCATACGTATTTACCGAACTTACTGATGGAATATTGAAATCAGTTACAGCTCGCCACAATACGTTGATAAGTATTACGGCCCAATACGGGACAACGAATATGATGTAGCCAAGATTTGTATAATAAAACAAGTTCAGGCAATACATTTTGACCGCGAACTATCTGACTTACAAAATTCAAGTTTAGTACACCGTAAGAGTTCATTAAGTCATCTCAAGCCTTTTATATGGACAAAAATAATTTAATCCGAGTGGGTGGCCGCGGCTGAAGCACATGCGTCAACGCTAGACGTATAATATTTTTACACGAACACGAGATAGGTACTCAGTGCCGTAACTAGGCTACTTGAAGCCTGTGTGCTAAACCAAAATATTGAGGCCCCTTATATTATCTTTTTCAATACACACTTTAAAAACTTTTTTTGCAATTTTTAAAGTCAGCAGACAAAAATTCGGGCTTAAACAAAAATAAAATTTTAATTTAAAATAATCTATAATTTTAAAACAATTTCTCAAGGCTATAACTAATAACTCATAAAAGTAAAAATTTTCTAAAATGTAATTTATTGAAAATATTAATATAAATATTTGGTGAAAACTTCAATGGTCTACGGTTATTATAGTTTACGAGTTATACCAAAATATAACATTTTTTGCTTTAGGTAAAAATGACAATTTTTTTTTATTGACGCCTTTTAATATCTAAAACTAAAAATTTCGCTTTCGATCTCCAAAAAGTACCAACTAGATTCACTTTTCTAACAGAAAAAATGCTGATCTCGAAATTCGGAATATTTTTACTACCCATTGTTGATGACAGACAGAAATGAAAAAAATTATACACATCTTGTAAAATCAATACATTTGTTCGTTCCTCTCAAAATCTAAAAACAGTGATCACGACTCCATGCTATATTAAAAATGAAATAACATTGGTTTCGTTTCCAAATCAATAATAAATAATTCATATATTTTAATAATTTTATATTAGTCTTTAGATCTTTTGAGGCCCTTCGATATATTATGAGGCCCACTTTGCACACCCGGTTTTTACTGCACTGTAGGTACTGTTACACGGCGGCCCACAAGCTGTGTTGGCATAGATTCGTTTAAAATACTGGCCTTTAAAAGGTCAATTTTTTTTTTTTAATACCATAGATATATGTATATTATATGTCTTATACCTAGATGACCGGCATACCGTCTCCGCTCAGAATCCTTTTTCTTATACAATGATATTATTATACCATTGAATTCAAATTTAATACCATAAATTAAACAGGGACCCACTTTTTAGATTCTGAGTGAAACGATGAATGTATTGATTTTACAATGATGTGCGTTTTTTTTTTTATTTTTTTTGTGTCTGTGTACACGATAAGTAGTCGAAATAATGCTTCGATTTTCAACTTCAGTATCTTGTTCGATTGTAAAGTGAATATCGTTGGTGCATTGGGGAGGTCAAAATTTAAATTTCCCAGTAGTTTTCAAAAGCGCCGGGAAAAACAAAAGAAAAATTAAGGAAAAACGGGAATTTTTACGCAAAATTGGTTTTCCAAAAAATCGATTTTGGTTTTTGGTGTAACTTTAAAACAAATGACCGTAGATACATGAAATTTTCAGTGGTTGTTTATATTTGCATTTACTATACACGATAACATTTTCAAAATATTTTGATTTATATTGAACTGTTTAGGGACATTTTCAGTTTCCAATTTTATTAGTTTTTTTTTTTATGAATATCAATAAAAATTTATTTGTTGAGTAAAAATACTTGAAAATTTAATACAAGGCTCCTATTATATTGTTTCAAAGACAGATGAAAAATATTAAAAATTGTTTGTCACAGTTTTTTTTTTTAAGCATTTAAAGTTCAAAAAATGAAAAAATATGGAAAAATCACGAAAATTTGCAAATTATTTCGAGTTAGAAATTCATAAAAATTTTTCTTTTTAAATCAAAGATATGAAAATTTAATACAAGATTCCTTATGAGATTTCCTACATTTATCAAAAAAAAAAAATTCTATAAGAAAGTCAAATTAAATTTTTATGAGCGTTTGAAATTCAAATTTTTACAACATTGGATATTCACTCGATTTCTCATGTGGCGATTTCCTTATTTTGTTGTAATTCAAAAACGAATAACTATAGATACATGAAATATTTTGACTCTTTTTGAGCCGTTTACGGACATTTTCAGTTTTCAATTTTTTTAGTTTTTTTTTTCTATAAATATTAATAAAGTTTTATCTGTTGGGCCAAAAAGTGTGAAAAATTAATACAAGGCTCCTGATATATTGTTACAATATTAATTGAAAAATATTAAAAATACATAGGCACAATTTTTTTTTATAAGCATTTAAAGATCGCATTTTGACAAAATTTATCAAAATCTCGAAAATTATCAATCATCGTAATTAATAAATTATAAAATGTTCAGTTTTTATAGCTAAGGATTGAAAATTTAAAAAAAAGATTCTCATAAATAGTTCATACTGTAGCCAAAAATCTAAAAAATATATGAGCACAGTTATTTTTTACAGACATTTTAAGTTCAAATTTGGGACGAAATTACATAATCAAAAACCTAGCATACCTATTTTAGTTATTTTGTTGTGAGTGTATAATACTATTCGTGGGTACTTGAAACTTCTAAAGTACACTATATTATATATCTATGATAGTATCAGGGTTTGTTATTGATGTATAACGTGTTATAAGTACCTAATGGATATTGTGATATGATTAATTTGGAATTTATTATAGGTCAATTTTTTTTTTAATACCATAGATATGTATATAATATGCCTTAAACCTAGACTGACATACCGTCTTCGCTCAGAATCGTTTTTCTTATACAATGATATTTTATCATTGGATTCAAATTTAATACCATCTATTATACAGTGACCCACTTGAAACCTACTGTACAGCAGAGCGACATCCACTTACCCACCTTTTTTTAATTCGAATATACTGAACATTTTGATAATTGTATTCAATAAAATCTATCGTATTCTTATACCATATATACGTACTCAAAAATAAAAATAACAGCTGTGACATTCAGTATTAGTACCTACGACCTACCTACTTTGCAGTCTGCACAGAGAGTGCCACAGAACCACAGTAAATTGAGAACTGAGAATTGTAAAATAAATACCTAATGATTATTTTATATTTTATATATTTTTATAAGCGTTTGGAATTCAAATTTTTACAACATTGGATATTCACTCGATTTCTCATGTAGCTATTTCTTTATTTTGTTGTAATTCAAAAACGAATAACTGTAGATACATGAAAAACTCACTGAATGTTTATATTCTCATTTTCTATACCTACACCATAAAAATTTGAAAATATTTTGACTAATTTTGTGCTGTTCGCGGACAATTTCAAATTTCAATTTTTTTTAGTATTTATCCATAAATACAATTTTATTTGTTGGGCCAAAAAGTGTAAAAATTTAATACAAGGCTCCTGATATATTGTTACAATATCAGTTAAAAAATATTAAAAATACATAGGCACAATTTTTTTTTATAAGCATTTAAAGATCGAATTTTGACAAAATTTATCAAATTTAAAATTGAATAATTATTTTGTAGTAAAAAATTTATAAAATGTTAAAATTTAAAACAAGATTCCACACAAGTAGATTATTCTGTTACCAAAAAATTTAAAAAATACATAAGTGCAGTTTATTTTTATAGTCATTTTAAGTTCAACTTTGGACAAAAATACATAAAAAAAACCTAGAATAACTATTTTAGTTATTTTGTTGTCATTGTATAATATTATTCGTGGGTACTTGAAACTTCTAAAGTACACTATTATATATCTATGATAGTATCAGGGTTTGTTGTTGATGTATAACGTGTTATAAGTACCTAATGGATATTGTGATATGATTAATTTGGAATTTATTATAGCCTATAGGTACCGTTTTTTAATACCATAGATATGTAGGTATATTATATGTCTTATACCTAGACCGGCATACCGTCTCCGCTCAGAATCCTTTTTTTTATACAATGATATTATTATACCATTGAATTCAAATTTAATACCATCCATTATACAGCGACCCACTTGTAACCTAATGTACAGCAGAGCATTATTTTTTCATTAAAATTCAATCAATATTAGTTGAAATATATTTGAATGCAGAATGAAATATGCATCATAAGCTGCAGCTTGTAATAGATTGTTTTAATTTTTTTTACCAAAGTAAATGTTTATTTATTTATGATTATTATGCTCGTTGAAAAAAACTTGAAAATTGAATACAAGATTTTTTATAAATAGTACTTATACAGTAATTTTAAATTATACGAAATAAAAAAATGTGTGAGTGTTTGAATTTTCGTTATTTTTATACAATATTATTCGTAAAGATAACGAAAATTTATAAATTGTTTAGTACCTTTACCTATTATAATTTAAAATGCATCAAATTTTCAATTTACAATTCTAACAGAAATGTAAAAATGTTGAAAATACATATGAAAAGTTATTTTATTTTGGACGTTCCTGAAAATGTTGATAAAATTGGATAAGTAAACATTATTTATAATCAAAAATTAACGATTTTGGTTATTTCAAAGTTGGTAATTAAAAAAAAAATTTTATAGTATATGGTCTTGAAACTTTTCACTATCACAACACGTAGGTATACCATAATTTTCAATAGACCAATTTCA